GGCTCGTACTTCCATGCTTTGAAAGAGGCTCAGGCATTTTTGCACTCGAAGCCTGATGCAAAGCCCGAGGATTTGAAGAACATCCCAGAGGTTGTTGAAGACCTCGAGCTTTCAGAGTCCGAGGAAACCGTTGATGACCAGGAGGTCAATATTGACGATTAGGATGTGGCGAAAGAGCAAGGAAGCCCGACCTCGGGAGAAGGAGCCTAGGACATAGACTAGTTTCTGTTTTCTTTTTGTTTTTGAATACTCTTGGCTCTTTACTTGTACTAATTGATTATTTTTGAAATCAATGTATTCTTCCCGAGCTTAACTTGCGCTTCTTACTATGTTACTTCGATTATGTTTGCTCGAGCTTTAAGTTTGTTTGAGGACTAAATTAAGTGATGTGACCTAGCTCGACTTCAAGAGAATCCATAATTCGATGCCTAAGATGAATTAAACATCTCGACACCTAAGATGACTTGATATCTCGACGTCCTAGATAAATTAAATAACTCAACGCCTAAGATGAATTGATATCTCAAGGCCTAAGATGAATTAAACAGCTCACGCTTGAGATGAATTAATAACTCGACGCCTAAGATGAATTAACATCTCGACACCTAAGATAAATTAATAACTCGACGCCTAAGATGAATTAACATCTCGACGCTTAAGACGACTTGATATCTCGACGTCCTAGATAAATTAAATAACTCGATGCCTAAGATGAATTAAACAGCTTGACGCCTGAGATGAATTAATAACTCGATGCCTTAGATGAATTAACATCTCGACGCCTAAGATAAATTAATAACTCAACGCCTAAGATGAATTAACATCTCGACGCTTAAGATGACTTGATATCTCGATGTCCTAGATAAATTAAATAACTCGACGCCTAAAATAAACTGGTAAACAGCTTAAAAATCTTGATGACTCAATCTATAGAAGTTTCAGACAAAGGTAGTAACTTGACCTTAGGGTCATCCCTTAATAGGGAAATTATCTCGAGGACTAAATAATAATGAAATTGTCTCGACCTATAGCGTGATTCCCGAGGACAAGGATGGGCCTTTTTATAAGATTCATCACATCGTTGATCGGGCACTGTGTGCTCGGGAATTTTACTTGTATCGTTTGCCCTGATAACAATCTTTATGTGTTTGTTCGAGGACAAAGCTTTTTGATTGCTTGCTCGGGGCAAGGCTTGAATTGCTTGCGCGGGGTAAGGCTTTAGTTATTTGTGCGGGGCAATGCTTTAGTTGCTTGCAGGGGGCAAGGCTTTAGTTGCTTGCACGAGGCAAGGCTTTTTGATTGCTTGCTCGGGGCAAGGCTTAAGTTGCTTGCTCGGGACAAGGCTTAGTTGTTTGCGCGGGGCAAGGCTTTAGTTGCTTGCGCGGGGCAAGACTTCAATTGCTTGCGCGAGGGGGGGCTTTTAGAGTGTTTGCTCGGGGTAAGGTTTTTAGAGTGCTTGCTCAGGGCAAGGCTTTAGTTGCTTGCACGGGGCAAGGCTTTTTAGAATGCTTGCTCGAGGCAAGGCTTTTAGTAGCGAGATTACATTTTGATGAATAGCTTAATTCTTATTATACTTTAAAAATAGACTTGGCACGCAGGCCTGACAACTAAAAACGTGAACCTTGGCACGCAAGCCTGACTACCGAAAAATAAAACTTGGCACGCAGGCCTGACTACTGAAAACTGGAAGAACAAGTTACTTGTAATATATTTTTAAATTCTCGGCGTTCCATGGTCTTGGAAGTGGTCTTCCTGATGTATTCCTTAAACTGTATGCACTTCCTTGAAGTTGTCGTATGACTTCAAAGGGTCCTTCCCATACTGGTCCTAGCTTGCCCGGATCATGACCTGTTGCTTCGGCCCTTCTTAACACAAGATCTCCGGCTCTAAATCTCCGCATCCTTACTTTTTTATTGAAATACTTTGCTGTTTTATCTTGGTAAGAGGTCATTTTTAAAGCTACCTGATCACGAACTTCCTCTAAGAGGTCGAGGTGTTCAGTGGTGCGTCCTGCGCCTTCGGGCTTAAGCTTTTTTTGGCTAGGCAACCTGACTTTAACAGCGATGGTGGACTCAATACCGAAAGCCAACATGAAGGGGGTTTCTCCCGTAGCGGTTTTATGGGATATTCTATATGTCCAAAGTATGGAAGGTAACTCGTCAGATCAGGAACCTTTTGCATCTCCGACCCTTGTACGGAGGTCTTACAATATAATCCGATCGGTCACTTCGGCAAGACCATTACTTTGAGGATGGGAAACTAATGTCAAATGGTGATCGACCCCTAGGTTGGAACAGAAGTTTTTAAATTGTTCATTGTCAAACTACCTGCTATTATCAGTTATGAGGACTTTCGGTATCCCAAACTTGCATATGATGGACCTCCAAATGAAAGTTCTCAACTTAGGCTCTGAAATTGTTGCTAAAGGCTCTGCCTCCACCCACTTAGTGAAATACTCTATAGCCACAGCCACAACTTCAATTGCTCCCTAGTTATTGGAAAGGGACCCAGGATGTCAATTTCCCACTGCTCAAATGGGGCCGTGCAACTAATGCTAGTGAGGTCCTCTGCGGAAGAGTGGATGATATTGCCAAATCTCTGGCACTTGTCACACTTCTTGACATATTCCTGGGCATCTTTCTTCATGGTAGGCCAATAATATCCATACCTTATGAGCTTGAAGGCTAATGTCCGAGCTTCTTGATGGTTTCCACATATTCCTTCATGAACTTCTTCTAGTGCTTGGGATGATTCGGAAGGCTTAAGGCATCTGAGGTATGGAAGTGTGAGGCTTCTGTGAAATAAAACTCCTTCAATCATGCAATACCTTGGAGCTTTGGATCGGATGCTTCTTGCCGCTCGAGGATCTTCTGGAAGATTGACATGTTTTATGAAGTCCACTATTGGATCCATCCACGATGACTCATTATCAATATCCATGATGCCTATGGTCTGATTGATGCTTGGCTCGATTACAATTCTAACTGGACTGTCTTGTCAAGCCCATCTATCCCCATGAACACCAATCTTGACAAGGCGTCGGCTTTACAATTCTCAGCCTGAGTAATTTTCACAATTTCACAACTCTTGAACTTTCTCTGGAGATCATGCACTTTCAAGCAGTATAAGCTCATTTTCTCGTCCTTACTATCGAACGTCCCTTCAATTTATCCGACCACCAACTGGGAATCACTGTAAATTTTGATGTTTTCAAGCTTGAGATTGATGGCAAGTTCCATGGCTATAATGACGGTCTCATACTCTGCTTCATTATTGGTTGCCTCAAATTTGAACCTGAGTGCACACTGAATGTCTATGAGCGTGTCCGGGCTTATGATTATGACCCTTGCACCAGAGCCCGAGGAGTTTGATGCTTCATCTACGAAAATTCACCACACACCTGTGGAAGAGCTCGAGCTACCATCTGGCCCCTGAGGCCTTGGGGTGAGTTCTGCAATGAAGTCAGCTAAGGCCTGAGCTTTGATAGATGGACGGGGCTTGAACTCTATGTCAAATTCTTCGAGTTCAATTGCCCACTTCAGTAATCTTCCTGAGAATTCTGGTTTCTGAAGAATGTGTGTCAGAAGCTGATTGGTGAGTACTACAATAGGATGTGACTGAAAATATTGTCGAAGCTTTCGTGCTGCCACTATCAGTACAAGGGCAAGCTGTTCTGCCAAAGTGTATCTTGTTTCTACATCAAGTATGAATTTACTTAAGTAATAGATGAGTTGCTGGGCCTGTTAACCTCTTTCACCAAGACACCACTTACTGCATTCTAAGATACGGCTAAGTATAAATACAGAGTATCCCCGGGCTCGGGTTTGGTGAGGATAGGAGAAGATTCCAATGTCTGCTTGAGCTCCTAAAAAGCCTTCTCGCGCTCCTCATTCCATTGAAAGAAATGATTATCCCTGAGGACTTTGAAGAAGGGGAAACACCTGTCTGCTGCTCGAGACATAAATCTGTTTAGGGCTGCTACCCTACCTGTCAACTTTTGAACTTCTTTCTTGATCCTTAGTGATTCCATTACTTCCAAACCCTGAATCTTATCGGGGTTGGCCTCAATCCCTCGATGAGTGATCATGAAACCCACAAACTTTCTCGAAGCTACGCTGAATACACACTTCTCTGGGTTGAGCTTCATCTTATATTTTCGTAGGATGGCTAACACTTCCTTAAGGTCGGATATGTGCCGCTCTACCTTCTTACTCTTTACCACCATATCGTCAACGTAGGCCTCAATATTCTTCCCTATCAAATCAGCGAAGACTTTGTTGATGAGCCTCTGATATATTGCCCCAGCATTTTTCAACCCAAATGGCATCACCCTATAGCAATATATGGCTGAATCGGCCATGAATGAAGTCATCTTCGGCCATGAGGATTTGATGATATCCTGAGAATGCATCTAGGAAGCTGTACAACTTGTATCTGGACGTACTATCCATAAGATTATTAATCCTGGGTAGCAGGTAGCTGTCTTTAGGGCACGCCTTATTGAGATCTATGAAGTTGATGCAGACCCCCCATTTATCACTGACCTTCTTTACAAGAACAACATTAGCGAGTCAATCAGGGTATTAGACTTTCCTTATGAACCTCGCTCTCACCAATTTGTCAACGTCTTCCTGAATGAACATACTTCTTTCTGACGCAAACTGTATCTTTCTTTGCTTAACAGGTTTGGCCCCTGGGCTTATATTGAGTTTATGGACAGCTACTTCTGGGTCTATCCTTGGCATATCCTCCACCTTCCATACAAAAACATCGATGTTGTGGGACACACAATTGATGACTTCCTCCCGGAGGCTGGCCTTAAGATCCCGACCAATAGTTACCGCTCTTCCGTGCTCGAGCTCGACCACTTCCAATTCCTCAACAGGGGCAAGTCTATCCCTTGGTTTGGGCTCGAGCTTGTGGTCTAAAAGTTGCATGACGTCTATACTCATTCCTCGGATGCTAGTAACATAGCATTGTCTGGTAGCTGTTTGGTCCCCTCAAACTACTCCGATGCCATGGCCTGTTGGGAACTTCATGGCCAGGTGAAACGTTGATACAATGGCCTGGATCTTGTTTAGTAGGGGCCTTCCAAGAATGATGTTGTAGGCCTTTGGGGTGTTAACCACTTGGAATGGTGTGATCTCCGTCACTTGTGCATTACCAGAACCTAATGTAAGCAGAAGCTCGACGATGCCCTCAGGGATAATGACTCCACCACCAAATCCCTGTAGATGAGTTTTTACTACTTTGAGCTGTTTGGGAGAGAGCCCCATTTTATGCCGCACTTCCATCCGTAGAGTACACTGAATGTACAGAAATGGCTATAACAGAGTTTCTCTTATTCATATTAACAGCTACTCTAGGAGGAATGTATCGAATACTGGTAATAATATCAGCAAAAGAACGTGAGGGAGATAGGCAGCCCTCGCCCCAGGGGCAAATAGGGGGTTTCCAAGTCCATGGCCAAGTACTTATTACTTCTTGGGTTGTAATTGCTATCCTAACCTAAGATCTGCGACACTCACATTCAAACAGTCATTGTCTCGAGTCCAAGGTGACTTAACAAATATGGTTAGAGCCCTTATGTGTCTTGAACTTATATTAAATTCAGTTAATATAATAGATGTTATCACACATACAATCATACTCAATTCGATGGAATTGTTTTATCAACCAGAATCCTCTTTACTTCAAAGTTAGCCACAATTGCAGAGACGACCAAAGCATCGTCATGAGGATACGATACTCCTTCCAAATCCCTTGCTCCAAAGGTAATGTCTTCGAGTTTATCACGGGATTCCTTCGAGGTATGAGCATGTTGGTGGGCATATTGCTTTCGCTCACTATTTGTGTCTCCTCCAGATGCTATGCCTCCAATTATAATATTAATGGTCCCAGCAGTGGTTGAGCACTGCTTCCGGCTCCAGGCTCTTTCCGATTGTCCCGGTCATTCCTTGGGCGTTTATCATGACCAATGTAGCTTCTTAAGAATCCTCTTTTAATAAAGGCTTCAATTTTCTGCTGCAAGGCTTGACAATCCTCCGTGGTATGCTCATGATCCTGGTGAAATTTACAATACTTGCTCCTATCTCTTGCGTCAAGGGGTGACTTCATTCTTGAAGGCCACTTTAATTCTTTCATATCTTTGATCCCCATTAAGATATTTGCCTTGGGTGTGTCTAATTGGGTGAGGGGCCCTGGTGGACCTTCATTCCTGCGTTTATCCCGAGGAAGCTCATGCCGGGGGAGGGGATCATGTTGCCTATTATTTTCAACCTTTTCATGAGAATGACCAGCTCTTCTTGGATTCAACGTTTCCTCCATATTAATGTACTTTTCAGCTCAGTTAAGGAGCTCGGTCACTGTCTGTGGTGGGGTCTTTGATAATGACATTTTGAAGGCCTCACACCTTATAGCATAGGTGAGGGCAGAAACTGCTGCTGTAATGTGAAGGTCGGGTATTTGAAGTCTTTCATTGTTAAATCTTGTCATAAAACCTCGTAGGGTTTCATTCGGTCCTTGGCGTAGTTGCATGAGGGAGGCCGCGATCTTCCTTATTCGCTTACTACTTGCAAAGAAGGCTGAGAAATTTTTAGCCAAATTTGAGAATGAGATTGTGGAGTTGGGCTCCAATGTCGAGAACCAATCCCTAGCAGCATTAGTCAGCGTTTGTGAAAAGGCTTTGCACATCATCTGATCCGACGCAACTTGCAAGTTCATGACATCAGTATATACATTGAGATGGTTGATGGGGTCGGTCGTCCCATCATACTCTTTAATGCGAGGATATTTGAATCTGTCGGGCAAGGGATATGACAATATCTCTGGTGTGAATGGAGTGTTAGGGGTGAAACCCATTGGTCCCTGAGCATTCCATTGCAGGCCAACTGTAATTCCTTCTTGAATGATCCGGGCAATTTCACTAGAATCCATGGCGACCGATCTCGAGCCCGAGGCCATATTGTGAATACCCGAGGTTCCTACTCCACCAATTGCGAGGTTTGGTGGTCATGCTCGAGCATCAGTCATAAAATCATCATGCTCTGCCTACCCTGGCGACGGATGTGAATTTTTTTGACTTAACAGTTGCGTGAGCGTGGCCACCTGCTGACGGAGCTCTTCAAAGGCTTTGGTTGTGATGATTGCTGGTAGAGGTGCGGGCACTCGTGACGATTCTTCATGAGGAGCCGGTTGATCTTCGGCAGGTTGAGGGATGGGAGTGGATGAGCTTGCGAGAGGAAGACCTGATCGTGTGTTAACCATGACTTTTGGTAGCGCATCTTACAGACGGCGCCAATGATGCTACCAAAAATCATACCTATTGATTTTTCGGGCTTGATGATTTTGATTGAGCACGATCGTAGTCTTTCGGTACCTGAAACAAAGGCAACAAGGTATGTTCCCGTCGCCCCTTCGATGCTTAAGTGAGAAAGGGAATTATATGCGTGAAGCTATAAACTGGAGAAAAATGAGAAACGTACCTGAACAATGACTCAAGGTTCTGTATTTATAGAGGTGTATGGTGCTTTCCTAGTATGATTTAACTATCTGGGTATCTTTATCCGATAGAGTCCCATGAGAAAGCAGTGTTTGGATCCTACTATTATTAGAAGACCAATTGTTAAGAGGACTCTCTCAGACTTAGGAGATGTGGTTTGAAGTATTTATGTCTGATAAGAGTTCTCAGAGGATAGACCTTCTCCTTAGTATGGGAAGATGGTAGTTGAAGACCTCAAGGGGATTTTTCCGGAGCTATTATTCCCGAGGACATCTTTCAATCTTTAAAAGTTATCAAGGTCGGGCATATGCAACTCGAGGACCCAATACATCCCGAGCACTAATGACCGAAAATCGTAAGAAACGCCTTCGCGAAGGATCGGGGATAAAAGTGGTTGGGATATGCAGGAACTGTCAGTATCATATAGTATTAATAAAGAGTCGCTGGATCTGCAAAGCCACATCTTGAAGAGAAGATTGAGGAATAGTTTTAAGAGGAAATTACTAGAAATGTCCACTTTTACATATCCATTTGCAATAATATCCATCATTGCAAATCATTGTGAAAATGTCCATTTTTGAAATAATTTAGACCAAAATACCCTTGTTAACAATTTATGATTCCACACAAAAACAAAAATTGACATTTTTGCAATTAAAATTTTTATTAACCAATAAAATTTTGACACATGACCTGCCCTATTTATTTAAAAAATGCACATGTCAAATCACAATAAATACTATTTTTCTCATTGACACTGAAATGTCGAGAACTATACTTCAAATGTGAAAAAACGTCATGTTCAGAATGTAATGTCATTCAAGACATCTAATATGTTGAGAACAATATTTGAAATGTCGAGAACATCATTTTAATGTAGCTTCCAATGGAAGCTACTTCTCGAAATCCACGAAAAATTGGAACAAAATTAATTGCTTTATTTTTTCATTAAGGGCATAATGGACAGTTTAGTACTAAATTTAAAAAGTTGATATTTTTAAATTGACACCCATGAAATTTGACATTTTTGAAAATATCCCTAGTTTTAATGCTAGTATTTAATGCACTATCCAATTCTCGTAACCTCTTTGTTGAGAATTTTCTTCGATTTTATTGGAGTTCAAATTTAGGGAAAATTGCAATCGCGATCCCTTTACATTTTTTTGTAAACATTACCTCAACCTTCAGTTTATACCATCACAAGTCCTAAACCTTTGACAAATTCGTAGATTCAGTTCAAAATGACGGAAACATTAGTTCCACTGCCAGTTGACCTCAAAAATGGAAAAAAAGGCAATTTTTGACCAATTTAAACAAGGGCATTTTCATTCAATTTTATTTCTCTCTTTTAAATATCATTTGATCAGTTATAATATCACTCCATTTCCATTTTCTTTCACAGTACGAACCTGATCATTCATCTTCTATAATGTTGACCAAAAATAGCCAAAAATCTGATAAAATTCCAGAAGATATTGCATGTTATATACGATGCCATCTTCCCGAACTTTTATACGGTAAGTTTTTAAATTTTTTTTCAAAATTTTTGGTTGTGGATATTCTTTTCTTAGTGGGTTGCGAAGTGTGATCATGTAGTGCATAGTTTCATCATTTTAAGCATGTTATTGAGTTGAAATGGCATAAAATTTGCAATATTTTACTCGCGCTACAATTGCATTCATTTAATTAAACTAGGATTTGTATTGATGGCAGTTTATTATGATTTTTTATCTTTTATTTTTGGTCCACAGAAAAATTCAAGTTATTTCACCATAAAGCAACATTACAACGGTGTGTTACTCACAAAGATGCGAAATGTTGCCTAAGAACATGCGAAGATAGCTTATCTAGACTACATGCATCCTAATTGGTTTAATAGATTTCTCCTAGACAATGTTATCAAGATGCTAGGCTATTTTGAAAAAATGAGGTATGTGTATAAGATTGAAAAGAAAAGATTGAGTGAGGTATCCTTCTGGTTGATGAAAGATGCAGACTTATTAATATAGTTAGGTTACTTGGTAAGAATAGGCTTGCTAAGATATGGTATATGCCCGTAGTATGGCATGATATTTCAATGGTTGATGTTGACACTGATGAGGTGTTGGATAAGGTGGAAGAAAAAGGAAAAGTAGATGTTGACAAACAGTTTGAGCATAATGTATGCTATACAGTGGAGGTTTGTAATGATTTTCTAGAGGGTGAAGACTTGCATGTTGTGGATGAGGCTGAGAGTAATGGTGCAACTGATGAAATATAAGTTGATGCAGGGAGTTATGTTGATGTTCCTACTAGTGACGATAATATGGGTGACCCTAGAGAGAGTAGAGTTCATATAGAAGTAAACACAAATGAAGATCAAATGGTTGATCAACCTATAGGTGAAGAACCAGTGGTGGACCTGTAAGACTATAATGATGCATATGCTATAGACCACAATGAAGAGACACTTGCTGCATATCACAATGAAGAGGTATCTACTACAGATCATGACAAGAAGCGTCTACTACAAATCACAATAAAGTTGGTATTGATACAGATAACTGCATATGTTCCTGTAGCTTGGTCTATGGTAGATGTAGAGAATAAAACAAACTGGGAATGGTTAGAATTTTTGACGTTTGATATTAAAATGTATAATATCAGGGCTTGGGCCTTCATTTCTAACAAACAAAAGGGCTTGGTAGACTCCATAAATTTGTTATACGAGGGTACTGAGCATAGGTGTCGTGCAAGACATTTATACAACAATTTCACCTTAGTGCATAAGGGATTGACTTCTGAAGAACATGTTCTGGATTGCAGTAAGGGCACCAATAGTACTAGAGTAGATAAATGCAATGAATGAGATTTAATATTTGAATAAAGTAGCATTTAAATAATTTAATGAGAAACTAGTATCATAATGGAATAGATCACATTTTCATAATCATTCAAAGTTTAGCATCCTATTGAATAACTTGTGTAAGACATTCAACTCTTCCATATGATTGCAAGAGAAAATCCAATTATCTCAATGCCTAAGAAGATAAAACATCGACAAATATTGAGAATGAATTCCAAAAGGATGCTGCACAAAGATGGGATCATGCTTTCAATTCCAGAGTTATTAGTATTGTTGAGAAAGCAAATGCAGATGCAAAGTTCTTGAAGGCTGACTATGCTGGAAGTGAAAAGTTTAAGTAAGCAATAGGGATGGAATGAGGTGGAGTTTGGACTTGATGAAGCATGAATGTGTATGTAGAAATGGCAACTTACTAGTCTGGTATGCTTAGGGATGTCAATTGGGCCGAGCCAGCTCGCGGCTCGTTGGCTCGGCTCGTGGAAAAGAGGCTTATGGGCGGCTCGGGCTAGTGAAATCACGAGCCCGAGCACGAGTTGAGCGGACCTCGCCGGGAGCCGAGCCCGCTCAGTTCGCCATTTAGACGAGCCGCTCGTGGGTGAGCTCGGCTCGTGGCTCAGTGAGCCAGTGACCAAAACGGTCACAAAAGTGACCGTTTTGGTCACTTTTCAGTGACTGTTCTGGCCGCCAGAACAGTCGCTGAACTTTTATTCAGTGAGTTCAGTGACCGTTTGGTCACTGAATTTTATTTTTATTTTTTTAATTCCCCCTCCCCCTTTTTCTACTATAAATACCTCCTTCCCCCAAAGATTTTTTTTCATATCAGTCGCTCTTCCAAGATTACAACCCTCTCAACTCTCTTTTATTATATCAATTATCGAGTTTTTACTCTCTTGTGCTGTAAAATATACAATATCAATTCAATTTTTACAGTTTATTAGTTACGATTTCAATTCATCCAATTCTCAATTCTCACAATCGCAC